CTGCGTCATAAAATGTCTTCAAACACATAACATTCAAGTGAAATTCTTCTACTCTTCTATTTCATATGATGCAGCATCCGGATCTGTTACCTATCATCTAAAAATCTTTAGTTTTAATCTATATTTTCGTTGCGCGGCGAACTTAAGTCTCTGGTTTTAGTTCAGTGGAGTTTCGGGTTTTAGTTCGCAGTACAGCACTAAGTGAATGAACTGAAACTAGGACTTTCGCATTACAGCCACCCCGAATACAAGCTAGGGTAAACTTCAGGACGAAATGAACGATGGGCTGAAAATTCTCGTACTTCTTCGGCGTCGCACTCACTAAGTAAAGTGAAATTCTCATGACCTTGAGCCGAACTGCGTCGCCTCGGCGCTTGCTGCAGTTTTGCTTAATCGCGCTGGTCCCTTCAAAAAAGAAAAAAGTAAAAACGGTTCGTCATTCTGACAGTTGTGCTCCCTCATCATATTTGTTGCATTTTCTCGTTCTACACCAGAGTTTTGATGTCCCCTTTTCCACCCCTGCAAAAGAAAGGGAGTGTCCTGCCGTCACTGCAGAGCACAGGTGTTGGATGAATTACGTCAGACGAACAGCGTGGCGTAAGACGCGCAAAAGTGGATGACATACCTTGGCAACTTGAGAACTGACCCTCGTTTTTTCCGGAAACATCTCAAATTCTCTTTTTTCAGCTGAACTGTAGAAATTTCATTTTTTAGATAAGAACCTGGAATGGCGGCCTAAAGTGCAATGCTTCGCCCGACACCATTCGCCCATATTCAACGAAAAGTGATAAGTGTGCAAGCGATTCTTCCTGGATCGTCTCGACTGCGTTATAGATCTGCACGGAACTGAGTAGTGTTGATAATGTAAACACAGTGTTGGACATGTGACAACCTGACAGGCCGTTTTCCATTGTACCCTGTGTGTCCATCTGAAACCCTGATTTTACCAACAGGCTACACTGCGGCTACAAATAAAGAGGTACGAATTTTTTTTTTTTTTAAACTCAGAGAACGCTCATTTTTTCCTAACATCTCTGTTAGTAACCGTATTATTGTAAAGAAAAATAATTGACAGCGCATCGACTTCCGATGTGAAGATGCATTTTTTGCACAGTTCCGCGCAGGTTTTTGTCGCTATGGGCACTGTTTTTTCGGTAAA